AAAAAAAGAGAGAAAGAAGAAGACAGCGGGGGAAAGGCTGCGAGGGAGGTAAGGAAGAAGAAGGGGATTGGCGAGGAAGAAGTGCCGGCAGCCATAGCTGACCGGGGAGTTGACCGAGAGGGTTGACTGGAGGTGTTGACCGGAGTTGACCGAAGTTGACCGAGGGTCATAGCAGCGTTGACCGGCGTTGACCAAGGCCGTTGACCAAGGCGTTGACCAAGACTTTGACCAAGCTGGAGTTGATAACATCTCGCCAAGCCCTTAGCCTGCCCCTTGCCCCATGGATGTGCACATACCCCTTGGTACTTGCTGAGTACAGTCTGTCTGTCTATTCTTTCTGCATTGAGTCTCTTCTGTCCTAGGTCATAGAACTCTGTGGATGAAGGATAGGGCCTTGCTGCCAAACGTGCACGGGACTTAGTAGGACTAATCTCTACTCTGGTATCTGGAGACCTGAGCATGAGCGGCGAGCGCTCGTTAAACAACTCRTCTAGCCCAATGACCGGTACTGTCCGGCAGGTCTGCTTAGTTTCAGTGTAGAGGGTCCGAACTCTGAGCTGCAGGCTGAAACGGAGGTTGTCTTTAAGTGTTGAGGGCCTGTTGGAACCACTCCCCTACCAGACCAAGTAAGGTTGATGATCTGTGTCTGACGACTCGACTGTCCCGGGGGATACGAACCCTCCCAAGGACCGGTACAGACCGGCGGGCTGCTCGGTGTGGCACAGTAGGCCGGAAAGGCTGAGTTGTGGGCTGAAAGCACAAGCAGAACCAAGCTGATCACGTCGTCCTGTCTGCGACATTAAAGAATTCTTGAGCAGTTACGGGGGATCTCCTTAAATGCCTCCTGATCAGCCACTGGTTCAGTAGTGACAGCCATAGCATAGGTCTAGGCTAGAGACCATAGTTGACAGGGTCCTTGTCAGGATTCTGTGGGTTCTTAGATTGAGTCTACAGGTTTGTCAGTCAGGGGTTAGAGTATACGTGGTGAGGAGTGGAATCATCCTGATTGTGCACCTATCACCATGGTTGAGACCCGTACTGGGCTAGAGACTAACCCCTACAGCAAGGAGCAGCAAGAAAAGATGGCCGCCTTAGTCAGAGAGAATAAGGAAAGAAAAGAGCGCGAGAAGCGAAGCTAAAGGCTATCGCAGATGAGCAGGCGGCGAAGATGAAGAGGTTGGAGGAGGAGATGAAGAGGGTACAACAGGAGGAGGAAGAAAGAAGGAAGGCTGCTGAAGCAGAAGCGGCAGCAGAAGAAGAGAAAGAGAGAATGAGAATTGAGAGTGGAGAAGGGAGCAGTGGTGGCACGATGAAGTGGGAGACAAATACTGACCTGGAGAAGAAGATCAGCGAGTGGGTCGCTAATTTATCGTTGGGGGAAGACGAGGAGGCGGAGTCCTATGTGACTAAGGATGAGAAGGCTGCGCTGGCCGCTGAGCTAGCAGCCATGACAGACCCAATGGAACGAAGGGAGAGGGAAGACGAGCAAAAGTTAGCATGGAAGTTGAGAATGAAGAGGGAGAAGAAGAGGAGGAGAGAGGAAGTGAATAAGATGACCACAACAGTGGCAAAGGTGCAGGAGTGTAGAGCGGAGGTGCTGGCCTAGCCAGATGATAAGGCCAAGTGGGACAAGGTACTGGGCTATCTAGAGGTGTTGAGCAAGGCCTGGATGGAAGAGCGCCAGGCACGTTGGAGCCAAGGTGTAGCCTTGAGTGCCATGCGGTCAGGGTTTAGAGACTTTGCGCGCGAGATCGTCACCCATATTGGGGGCGAAGTCAAACAGTTGAGAGACAATGTAGGGAAGTTTTGTGAGGGCGCCATTCAGGGTGCCAAAGCTGTAGCCGCCGCAGAGGGAGAGGCCAGGCCCCGTAAGGACCCAGTGAAGCTTAAGCTTCCGGATGTGTACGGGGCAAAGAAGGAAGAAAACTTTGACAACTGGGAAGCCAGTGTCAATAGTTATATTTACTTGCAGCATATCCTGGCCGAGGAACAATTCCGTGTGGCCTTCCAGGCCCTCAAAGATGAAGCGGCTAGCTTCGCCAGGTCTCTTGCGCGTACAGCCGGTTGTGAAAACAACCCGGTTGCATATTTCAAAGTCACTCCTCTTTCCCAATTCCTCAAGCTCCTCAAGGAGCGGTTCGCTGACCCAACGTGAGGTATTAGAGCCTCTGATAAGCTCCAAACGATCCACTCCCGGCAGTGGAGGAGTGCCAAGGCACTCAAGGGTACTATGGACGACTTGGTAGCCGTCTCGGACCACGGGGTCACTGAGCCCCAGCTGGTCCAGTTGTTTTATCTTGTCATTCCAGAGGTCCTACGCGGGCATTTCTTTGACAAATCTCAGTAGGCCGGCATGACTTACGATGCATTGAGTAGAGAAGTCGTCCTGTATGAGTCGAAGTCTATGCCAGTTACCACTTTCTGGCATAAGGACCTGGAGAAGGGGAAGAAGTGGAAAGATCGTACCATCTCGGGCCAAGTCAAGGCCAAGGATCACTTGATCCTGACATTAGAGGAGGGTGGTACAAAAGAGGTCCCATATGATCAGATTGAGTGGGGCCTAGGGGAGGAGTACAGTAGTGTAGGGCAGGGGAGGTCTTACGCTGCTGTCGCGGCCGGAGGGAGATCGCAAGGTAGAGGAGGAGGCCAGGGCCAAAGGGGCCAGGCCATGGGAGGCCGAGGACCGGGCGCACAGGGGGTTGGCGGACAGGGAAACCGCCAAGCGGGAGGTAGGGGTCAAGGTCCCCCGTTAAATCGCCAGGGTAACCGGTCCCCACAACGAGGAGGTGGAAGGGCGCCTCAAGGAGGATGGTACCCAGGCTTGCCGCAGGGCAGGCCCTGGGAAGACTTGGGCTTGGACCAGCGATTATGGCAGGAACGCGTGAACATGGGTCAGTGCGTATTCTGTGGTGACCCGACGCACGTAATTAAATTTTATCCAAAGTATAGACAGGCCCGTTGGGCTGCTCAACAGTCAAAAGGCAGCCGCCAGTAGGGGTCGCAACTGCCCCTACTTCCAGGCCATGTGGAGAAGTGAGCGCGCGCGAACAAGACACTCCCAACCCACATGAGCCTATGGCAGAGGTTGCAGGCCCGTGCCTAGATAGCTGTCCAGAGACTGCTTGTGTTAGCGTCTCTTTAGGCACACCCCTCACAGGTGTGGCAGAAGAGTTGAAGGAGAGGATGCCAGCCTGGGCCAAAATAAAAAAGGAAAGTAAGGGACAACTGATTTTGGTAGATGTAGAGGTATTTAGAAGTAGAGTAGGGGCCCTTGTAGACTCAGGGGCTACCCATAGTTACATTAGCCGTAGGGCGCTGAAGAAGCTGAGGCTAGGACTAAAAGTCCAGAAGTTAGTAGACCCCATAGTCAGTGTCCTCGCCGACAACCGCACGATGCGAGTTGAGGACTACGTAGAGGGAGTCCAGGCGTACTTTCGCCTAGAGAAGAATGGAAAAGTGGAGAAGGTCCTCCATTCTTTGACTCTAATTGTGCAGGATGACCTTCCCTTTGATGTAGTTTTAGGAATGGATTGGGAAGAGGCAGCAGGGGCCACACTCCATTTGAGAGAGCATGAGTGTAGGCTCCCTAGTCCGTCAGGTGAGGTTAAGACGGCCCGCTTGTTCCATGTGTCGGGTGTAGACAACATTTTGGCACATTGCTGTCTCAGTGCTCCCACGTTCGCGCGATTAGTAAAAAAGGAGCAGTTAGAAGACCAGGTCTTTGTAGTTTATGTTAGACCTGACACTGAGCCCCAGGAAAAGGATAGCTCCACAGATCCAACAATTGCCAAGCTGCTGGAAGAATTCAAAGACTTGTCTGAGTCGCCGACAGGAGTAGTGTCGCGACCCATCCAGCACAGGATAGAGATAGAGTCTGGCAGTAGAACTCCTAAGGGTGCAGTCTACAGGATGTCCCCTAGAGAGTTAGAGGAGCT